TTTGGGAAGTACGGTTTAAGAGTTAGATAAGAAAATCAATAAATTCTGTATGCTAAATTTGATGCTATAGCTAGCAGCCAGTTAGCTTAGCTTAGCATAAAGACTGGAAGCAGGGGGAAACAACAAGCCCTGCTCTGTCTAAAGACAACAAAATTCATCTACCTGCACCTCCAATCAAAGCATACTAACTAACATGTTATATCAGGTGTCCGCGGGGTCTTAAAGTCTTAAAAGGTAATAAATCAATTTGCGAAAATTAAGGCCACTAAAAAGTATTAAAAAGTCCATTTAACAGGTATTAAATTTTGAAGATATTTTTGTCAATGTGAACATCCTTTTTGTCCAAAGAGTTTGTATGGTAAAAGTGTGGGTGAACGTATTTATTTATATTGCATAGCCAAAATAACTAGCCAGGCAGAACATAGTGAGTTGTTATTCTGTGTGACGTTAGGCGCAGGGATCTAGGATCTACCGTGCGAGCCTTTCACTCTCATACGCCCCTAAAAATAGATCCGTGCGAACCGGAAAACTGATTTACGAGCGCTTGAACAGCCCTGTTACTCAAAAACAAGAGCAAGATGCGTCATTGTCACTTTTCGTGAACAGATTAATCACAGCCTAGATGGAGCAGTATTTTTTTTTTAAAGTTTGATGTGCTAACATTACAGCAAACTTTCCAAATGTTGAACTAATCGTTCTGCCTAAATAGTTATTATTATTGATGAGTTAGTAGCCAACTTAAAATTGGATCGAGCCACTGTAGTGGAAAGATTTAGCCAGAACCAGGATGCCATTGTGCCAATATGTGCTGCTTCTAGCCTCCTCCTCCTCCTGAGAGCATGTTCTCCTTGTTCTATTTTACATCTTGTTTTACTAAAGTTTACACAAATCAGCTTTAGGATGCAGACAGCAGCTGTTGATCACAAATGTCTGTGCTACACTGCCTGCTCTACCAACGTTATCCATCACTCAGTTTATTCTCTTCACCGTTGTTCCGTTCTGGCCTATTTGAATTATGTTGTATTGATACAATAGTCGATGAAAGTTATCACAAAAAGAGTGTTTTCTTTTTAAGTCTCAAAATCTATTTATAGTAAATGTAAGTTAAAGGTGGGCTGTGTGGTTTTTAGTGGCATCTAGCAGTAAGGTTTCAGATTGCAACCAACCGCATACGCTTTACATATTTGTTACTGAAAATAAGTTATGTCAGCTATGTCAGGTAGTTATCAACTAGTCGGCATTTGCAGGCAAGCTAACGTTATCTAGTTTGAACCAACTAAAACACAAAATCACACTGTTTCACATGTTTTGAATGTTCGCACATAAACATCACAGCCTGTGTAAGACAATGGATTTTCGCAGGAAATCCTACGAGTCCTTCACATAGAAACAGTAGGCCTAAACAGGCTGTTATAGGCAACTGAGAAAGTTGGTGAATGCCTCAATTTTTAGGTGAGGTTACAGCCTGGTCACATATAGGCAATGAAATGTTATAAATATCTTTAAATTCCTTTTAAAAACTCCACAATTCCCTTTTAAATGTGAGGCTGACTTAACCGGTTACAGCTCAAAGTGGCTAGGCAGTCTTAAATTATGTTGAAAAGTCTTAAAAGGTATTGAATTTCACTCCTGGATTCCTGTATATACCCTGTATATGCTTGACTATATCTTGTCTGGGAAGCAGTGGAGCCATGAAATAGTCCCGTACATAGCCCCCGCAAACCAAATATTTTTGTTTTATTACGTATGCGTATGTATTAAATAATGAGTTTCAGAGGTAGTGGTAGGGGGATTTTGTTACCTTTGAAAAAGAGCCAGGCTAGCTATTTCTATCTGCTTCTAGTTTATGCTAAGCTAAGCTAATAATAAGCGTATTTCCCAAATGTCAAACTATTTCTAACATAACATTTTCTGTTACCAACGAAGGTTTAACTGAGGAACCAAGTGGAAAGTCAGACAGTGGTACAGTCAAACAGAGGAAGATGAGCAAGAAGAACACTGAGGAAGAGCCCAAAGCCCGAGCACTTACGTCAACAAACAGTGACAGGTGAAAGTGACAGATTCAACAGCAGCAACACTGTACATTTAACGGTTGCATAGTGTTATATTATATGAGCTCGAGTCATATCTTTCTGTGCACAACAGGTTAGCCTCAGAGTCTGTTGAAACAGACCTGGACGTCCAGCTGCATTGTTCGTCCAGTTCGGAGGCCGAGCCAGAGAAGGTTGTCCTGCGAGCGGAGAGCCCGCCTCTTGCCAGCGCGTTCGCCCTCTCCACATCCTTTGAAGAAGATGTCCTGGACCTAAAGTGAAGACAATCCCATCGTGCACTTCTCTGCCCACCCACTCCTGTACTGTCACCATTATTTTATTGTTTTTTTATTTAGTTTTGGTTGGTTTGCTTTTAATTTGTTGTTTGTTGAATTGTTTTTTCTTGTCTTTTTTTGTTTGTTTGTTTATATCCCTGTATCTTGGGTCTCCCCATTCATTGGACAAGATGGGTGCAGTGGGAGTTAGAAGATGTGTCTGTGTACGTGTTTGTTTTCACAAGCAGTCCCTCAGCCACTGTGTCTTGGGTGTTTGTGTTGCCCCGCAGCAAATAACCCAAAGAGGCCATGAGGTTGTGTAAGATGCCGTGGTTTATTCAGAGTTCTGCAACAGCCTTGAGATAATGTTAACGGTTTGATCCCAAACCACAAACTGAATGTAAATCTGCGCACGAGGCACGACAAAAATCTCATTCACAATGCCCTCTGAAGTTGGTAGAGCTTAATATGTGTTGTATATTATGTGATTATTTCCAACCCACTTTGAATTGCTGTATGATATGCATATGTATGTGTACATCTGTTTATACATGAAAATGCATACACGGTGATGGGCGTGTATGCCTGTCTTGCCTGTGATGCATATTTATAGATATATTATAAAAATTAATTTTATTCCCAGATTTAGTAAAAGTATGATGTTTTATGCTCTCTGCACATATTAGTCCTTATTCCTCTCCCTATTCACAGTATACAGGTAGACAGGGCTGGAGGCTGGAAGTCTCCCACAAGTGCCATTTCCCAGCATCCTCCACTGAACTACACCTCTAACAGCACTATACTCTGGTGTCTGACAGTAGCAGCCATGATTGTAATCCACATTAGATTACAATGTTGGCCCACAGCTCCATTCAACTCCATTTTGAATAAATTCACTTAAGGGAGGCACTCTCTCAAAGCCACATGCATTCAACATTTTATGAGCCGACCTTAAGTCTGCATGACCTGCCTTTGCTACGGGTGCTCTGTCGTTTGTGGCAAAAAAATAATGCTTCTTTGGAAACCACAAGGTCTACAACATCATACCAAACATAGCTGCAAAAGGAAAACCACAACCTGAGATGAAAGATAGTGTTGATGTTAAAAGGACAAACACCTTTTTTTACTAGACTGTCATGTTTGATGGCCAGAGGTACAGCAGATGGTACAGCAAGGGAATTATCGACAAAACCACAAATTTTTGATAATATTGTCTTAAACTTAAATGATAAAAGCTGATTTTTTTTTTTTTTTTTTTCAAAAAATGAGCTAAAATTATCTTGAATACTAATTACACTAAAATAAACTTAAGTGTGAAATATTTTTAGTTTTTGTCTTTTTCTGTATGTGGAAGGTAGAGATTATTGAAACATAAATGTGGAAATCTTTAAAACTGTGTTATTTATAGTGCACAGTAACCCATTTGAAATACATATACTCTCAATTTGAATAGTTGTACCTTTAGGAAATTGTTCCCCTTACCCAATTAAAATTAATACCTAGAGTAAAGAATATAATTGAATTGTAAAATAAAATGTTAAAAACTAAAATAACTCCATGAAAACAATATAAAATAAAGAACCCTGGTCTTCAGAGCCCACAAGCCTGCTGGTTTTAATTCCTGATGTCCAGTAATAGACTGATTTACAGCTGGTGCAGCTATGAATTATGGGCTACTTCACCAGGAATTTTCTTTTATTCTCATACCACCATGACTCCATTGAAAAACAGCTATACACATCTTTAAACACTCCTGCATGCAGTTTGATTTACTGATCAATTATCAGACATGTCCTTAGCTGAATGATCTTAACTAACCCTAACCCTGCTAATTACAGTTTGTCCTTGACGTCCTGACTTTGAACCCAATTCTGTTTCAAACTCTAACGGTGTCAACTCAAACTAATCTATTTTGGACAATTCAGAAGAGACAGCTTGAAAAAAGACCCTGAGATATTCAGTCTTTTAATCTCCAGTATGGTTGAAGCTCCAAAAATGATGGATCCTACATTTCTCATAATGCAGCTTGATAGCATCTTTCATTAGCCCCCTCCGCCTTCTTAATGTCTACGTCTTTCAAACCCCACACCTCCAGTTTGTAAATCAAGCTTTATGCTGCATTCATATCATATTGGAGTTATCTTAATTATGGGTTTCCCAAATTGCGTTCATTTCACCTTCCATGTCATACTTAACAACTGGGAAACTTTTCTGTAAACTCCAATATATTGGAGTTGGCACTTATTAAGAAGTTTTAAAAGCTGTACTAAAAAATGGTATGGATATATCGTTATATTGTCACTGCACAGTATCTGAATCCTCACATGACCAACTTCATCGCTTCAAAAACTGTTAACATGGGAATCTTTTCCACCTCTTGCATCCATCCCATATCACATGAACACGGCATGCCTCAAATAGATAGTTCTCTCTGAAAACATTTTTCAGGATATTTTTCCAAGTCAGATGAATGGGCAGAATGTCCAGAGGTAGAGTGGGTGACATTGCACGCAGAGTGGGGTAAGCTGTTAAAATATCTCCTCAACTTCTCTTACTCCCACAATTTTCACTGTTCATACATTTTTCATCAAAACACACATTTTACATCAGCACGTACAAAACGCTAGGTGATAGGATTTATGGTCTTTGAGTATTAAGCTGGAGTCTGAGTGTTACCTCTAGGCTTAATCACTATTAAATAATCTGTTTGACCCAGGGATCACTTAGCAGCTACCATCACCATGGCAACTATTCATTGGGGGGGGACACACCTGATTGGATTATTAGACTGCTGTTCTGATCTCTGATGCTCACAGTAGCTTTATTTCAACTTTCATTGCATCCTGCCTCTGATGTGAATCTCTAGTAAAAGTGACCAGACTGACCCAGGAGTCCCTCTGCAGGCAACTGCAGTTGGTGGTTTCATAACTGACAGACACACATGCATGCACACAAAGCAAATCATTTTTCAAATTCAAACATATACGTAGAAATATACGTAGAAGAAACACATGCATGCATACATGCATGTTTTTAAATTGTATGTATAAAAACAACTAACACAGTTTCAGTGATAACAGTAACACACAAACAATTATTAAAAACACACATGGAAAACAATTTAAATATTTCTAGTACACTAGACACTAATTTCAACACCTTTCATTGCTTCTACTATATTTTGCACCCTTCATCCCTTTCCTACTATTCCAACTATTCATACTCCTTCAGTTGCTCCTTCATATAAAGTTAAGCCAGCAATGCAGTTTATCTCCCAGCCATCCATCAAGCAATACTGTTCAGCTCCCAGCTTACTCATTAAGCAATACAGCTCAGTGTCAGCTTTTCAGCAGCCAACAATCCCACTGCAAATATTTTCAGAAATGGCATTCTCTACTATAAATATATTTTTTCTTAGTACTGAGCACTGAGGAAGTTAAATCAGTCCTGTGTGCCAGTGTAAATGCTAAATCCAACAGGAAACAGGGAAAATGTTCTGATTAATGTGCACCTGACAGTCAGTAAAACCAAAGGAGAAAGCTTTTAGGATCCACTGATAATAGGGGGAACAAACTGGGAGATGTGGTTCTGACTATGCGAATGTAGGTATGAGAGCGCCTCTATGTGGTGGTTTCACAACACAGCAGCCTTCAGATCTCGCATGGGCCTCCTCCTCCTTTCCCCTCACACCTTTCCCTTGTTCCCACCTGCCTGTCTCAGTGTTAACACTTCCAACACAACTCTGAAAACTAAAAAGGGAAGAAGAATGGGATGGGGGTGGGATTTTTACAAAGGTACTTTAGTGTTTACTATTATGAGTGAGTGTGGATGGCCTGGCAGTTACAGTTTGTAACACTGCTTCTCCCACTTGATGATGTTCCTATTTCTCCTGTATTTCTGTCGAGTACTCTTTGTTCCTACCTCCCCTTGGCATTTTCACAGGTTTTTTCTGTTTTGTTTAGTTTTTTTGTATTTGAATCTATATTTACTGTTTAGACTGTTGCTGAACCTCTCTGTGATATCAAAATGAAAGAAAATTAACAAAAAAAACACCAAGTGTCTTAAAATATTGTATCGCCATCGTTTTTAATGCCAAGTACTACTTGTAAATGTTTGTGTATCAAATGTGGCCTCAAAATAAACTGAACTATATTATTATTATTATTATTACTATTATTATTATTTGAGCAATTATTTTAAACAAGTGCTGTAGACCACTGCTGTGAAAGTAGTCGATTATGTTCATTGATATGTAATAAATATTTATGAAATTTACACTGTTTGACTATTTCTCTTGTTGTTTTCATTATTTTTGCAAGCATTTGGTAACAAAATCTTTAAAGTTTGATGTGATGATGGTTCAAATTAGTACTTTCAAATTGGAATTTTGACCAGATGGTGGTGCTAGATGAAAAGTCAGGAGATAACCAAAATCAGTGAGATGTCTGTACCAAATTTTGTCCCAGTAAAAAAAAACTTACCCGTTAGGTGTTAAGATAATTTACTAGACAAGTGATAACTAGGGGAAAAGTCAGGGGATCACTACAGTCATTAGGATTCACACTGTAGGTACCATATATGTACTAAATTCCATGGCGATCCATCTTATACTTGGCAAAATATTTGGCGCAGGCAGAGTGCACGCAGTTAGACCAGTAAGTAGGTAGACAGGCAAATGAAATCATTGCACCTGATGTTTTCATTTTTTTGTCAGGGAATTTAATTTATTGATAGCTGTCAGGATGTAAAGAAAATTTCAACAAATGTAATATAAAAGCTTCTAAAATAAATTGCCTACCTCAGCTATAAGAAATCTTATCAAGTGAAAATGCCTTACAGTACTGGCATCCAAACTTCTTTCAAGCAAAAGAATAAATAAAATATTTTCACTTAAATATGATAGGGATTTTTTTCAGTGCAGTCAGGGCAGATCTTTGAATTTCTAAAAATCATTTAAGCTGTTAATGGCATGGTGGCACACCCACTGAGGGATAAAAGCACGGCAAGTATAATAGCCAAATCAAAGTGTATCTTCCTCTCGTATCCTGTGGTATTTACTGTAATTATACAAAAACAAAACTGGAGTCAAAGGCCTTACAAAGTACCACATGTGCTGCCATGTAGGCTAATGATAAGTTCAGGTGTGATATGTGGCAGGCCACATAATTTGTTCTCTCAGAAGGTGAAAATCGAAGCCTTGTGGTTGTTACTAAGCAGTAGTGGAAAGTAGTTCCAGTAGTACATTTACTGAAATTACTTCTACTCCACTACATTTCAGAGGAAAATATTTTATATGGTGGTGTAAAAACATTTTTTACACCACCATATTTATTGCAGTTTTTAGTGAGGTTACAGCCTGGTCACATATAGGCAATGAAATGTTATAAATATCTTTAAATTCCTTTTAAAAACTCCACAATTCCCCTTTTAAAGGTGTGAGGCTGACTTAACCGGTTACAGCTCAAAGTGGCTAGGCAGTCTTAAATTATGTTGAAAGGGTCTTAAAAGGTATTGAATTTTTATCAGGTCTACAATAAATCCCCCTCTAAACTAAAAGGTTTTCATTCAAGTAACTGTTTTGAGGCTCAAAGAGGTAAACTTATCCAACTTTTCAGAGAAAGCGAGATTAGAGAAAAGTCAAAAAACAAATTTGTGCATAGTGGATTTTATTGTATAAATCCAAATGGTTAGTTACAGGTGTTTTAACTTACTTTTACTACTACTTCAGATACTTCAAGTACATTGTGCTGATGGTCCTTTTGTACTTAAGTTGAGCTTGAATCTAGGACTTTTACTTATGATTAACTATTTTACATCATGGTATTGGTTACTTAACTTGTCATAGCTGATATTTTGTTTTTCTTTTGGCCATTTGGGGACAAGTTGTGAACACAACATTGGCATATCATCATCTTTTATGTTAATATGGTGAAATTGTTAGCATACATTAGCTTATTTACATTGTTGATTAGTGCCAATTGTGGCCACAAGGTGGGTATAAATAATGAATTTCCCTTGTGGAATCACAGAAAATATTTTCTTTTGGTCTCTTACTTTTTGAATTAAATGTTTCCACTAACTACTCTCTCTCTTAATTGAAGGAGCCAGAAGCATGCCTACACCTACTGAACAATAATGGCAGGGGGAGCAAAAATAGTTATCACTTAATCTGCAATAGCAGGAAAAAGGAAAGTAGCCATACATTTCCAATTACTCAACACTTGAACTTCAGTGTGGTCTGTGATTTTTGTGTGTGTCTGGCCTTACAGCTCATTCACCCAGTAGGAATGTCGTATGCTGATGAGTGATAAAGACAGCAAGG